TGAGTGGAAGGGTTGAGTTGCGTCATCGGCTCCGCTTTCGATTTCTCTCCTTATATGGTCATGGCCTGAGTTTTCAGAAAAAGTCTAGGAGGGTTTAAGTTTGCGTTACTTGAAGGAAGCGTTTGCGAAAAAATTCCTATGGCTAAACCCTTGTGGGCATTGCGACTTATTCGTTGTATATACATTATTGGAATAGGCCAAGCCTATTGCGTATATCGTGACTTATCTTCTATATTTATATGCTAGTGGGTAGGTTAGGCCTATCGCGCAGGTCGTGACTTATCGCTAGTGTGGTAACTTATTTGGTGGTAATTCTACTGTCGGTAAGTCATGCTAGTGAGTGAGGTAACTTATTCAGTGGTAATCCTACTGTTGGTATTCGGTGGTAATCCTACTGTCGGTAAGTCATACTAGTAAGTATGGTAACTTATTCGGTGGTAATCCTACTGTCGGTAAGTCATACTAGTAAGTATAGTAACTTATTCGGTTTTAATCCTACTATCGGTAAGTCGTTGTTCTTATGAGTAAGGTCTGACTAAAGTCTTCCTACAATCTAAAAAAAGTTTCAAATTTTACGGGCGTATGAGAGGGTGGACGTAACAACATACGGCTAACATCGTACATTAAAATAACGCAGAACGTAACACGAAACGAAAAAGTTGTACCGTGTTTCAAGAAAGGCGTTAAAAAAAAACGCAACGTCGTTTGCGTATGTAGAGAGAGAACGTGTCAAATGGCGGAAGTTCTCGTGTCGGAGAGTATGCTGGACACCAAAGATCTTCGTGTGAGACGCTCTCTCGTTCGACGAAAGACTGCTCGCCGGTTTACTGCGTTCTATCGTAGAAACTTCGTTAAAACAGTAGTCGTCGTCGTAGTTTAGTACGGTAGTACCCTACGATGCGGGAACGATATAAAAAATTAAAAAATATACGAGTTATATATATCGAAAACACCGAGACGGCCGCGTCGTCGTAGCGCATCTTGCCGCAAGTCAGCGTTTTGTTGCTATCTCGTCCTTCTACGCGCAAAGTCACAACTGAGCGACTTGCACTTATGATCAGCGCCGTTAGCGTCGAACGTGTCGTCTTACACCTAACGTTCCTAACTGTATGTACGTGTATGTTCCCGTCGAGATAAAATATAGTATGGCTTAACACAACGGAAGACTTGAAACGTTCGACCGTGAACGCGCAGAGAGACGATGGATCAAGTTCGATTTTTTTGGAAAAGGCCGATCATTTCGGCTATAAGATGCTTTTTCCACTATCTACGTTTTACAGTACACGCGTTTTCGAAAAAGATCCGTTTGATCTTCGGCTGATGCACACTTTGGTATGCAACAAGCTTCTCCACGCGTACGCGGACAATGAACGATCGATAGTCGTGCGATGAGCAGTGACGGCGTAAACAAGTACCACGATTAACGAGGTTGGCTCTCCCCGTGAGGCGCCCATTCTGGAAGTCGTCACGCTGCCGTAGATAACGGCGCAGCGTATCTCGAATGCGACGCCGAGTCCCCGTCGCATATATATTTTCCTGAAACACGTCAACCTTCGATAGTCAAGTCACGAGACGTATGGTCCGCGACACGCTTTTTTCTTTTCCGTACAAACGAAGTAGTTCGGAAAAGGGCAAACTCCTTTACAAAAACATTTTTTTAGAAACGTCACGGTTTAAACTTTACCTTAGGACACGTCGTAAGTTTAACTTTTGACACGTTTTTGAGCACGTTTTAAGCGGTTTTTTAAAAATAGTATCCGTTTTGGAACAAGATATAGACGAACACGCAGGAAGTTAACGAGCTGTTCGTTTGTAAATACACAGAATAAAATAACGTACGACTGCACTATAAGAGAAACGTGTCCGTTGCACATACGAAAAAAGGGATATTTCGGAACGTGTAAAACTAAACATTCTTAAAAAAGTTGAAACGTTGCGTGGTTACATGGCTCAACACGATATTCGTACGTTAAAGAAAACGTCACTTTAGGAAATGTTCAAAATATTCTTCCGTACGCTCCCGACACGAATAAAGTGTCTCGTAAAAAATGTTACCAACATTTTAAGACCATTCCGCGGTTACTTTACGGTCGTTCGCCTTTATTTTTTTATGTAGATCTCGCGTGAACGTCGCGTAGTATAACGTTTACTTTTTAAGTGTTCCTAAAAAAAGATTTACGACGACATCATGTTTAAAAACAAACACGGTGTTTCAGCATATTTCGCACAGCGCAGTTGGTTTTAAAACAGGAAAGTTTTCGTTGGTTTTTGGGTACGTGTGCCGGCGTCAATACAGGGTGTCTGATACGAGGTGTAACACCGCTCCGGGGTAGCGGAAGTGGGTTAAACTGACGAGATATAACCTCTCGTATTTTACACGTTTTGTACGTATCGAGTACGTAACGACGTAACATCACCGTACATCTGCGACAACAGACAGCGTTTGCTTACTAGACGCACGGCGAGGCCGTGAAAGGAGTGCTCTGTCACGACGGGAAATGTACGATACCATGGAAAATATGGTACACGAGAGTATATTTTCTATGCCACGAACGTCGTTTATTTTGATAGAAAACGACACGGGTACGTATAACAGGAGCATCACACGTCGCCGCGTAGCCGTTCGTTACAGAACGCTCCTTCCACGGCCTCGCCGGAGATGTTACGTGCGTACCAAACACTCTGTATATAACATATCGTCTCGTAATAAAATGTCTTCTATAACGTCGTATCTTGTTATATCTTTAAGTGGCACAAAACGTACACTCTTCACATGCTTTATATTTTTTTGCGTGACGCCGGCAGTAAAGACGGCCGTGAAGGCGGCCTGCGTATCTGCGTAACGTACCGGACACGTTTTGCTTCACCAAACTCACGCAGTCGCCAGAACCTCGAAGCTCAACGTCGACACCCGACACGGTGGTCCCTTCGCACGTGACGTGAGTGACGATCGTGCCCTGCGTGCCTGGGCCGTGTTCGAGTTCGACTCGCGCTTTCAGAGATCCGACTCCGTTACCTTCGCTGTGCTGCAAAATCTTCGTGACGTTCCATAGTACGCGCGTCGTATCGGGGAGTCACTGTGCCGGCGGTTTGCTGTTGAGCGACTTGAAACCGCCGTCGATGGGCGCCGCAACATGAAGATTCAACAAAGGGCTCGGCGAGGCCCGAGCGCGACTATTGTATTTATACGCGATCTAGACGCGAAAACACGCTACGTTGTACGGGCTGCCACATCAAGCGAGCGAAAGAGATGAACGTGTCGCTTTAAGTTTCTCATATTATTTCTTACGAAGATACGAAGGATGGCCGGGTACCTTGAGATCGGTATGGGTCGTTTCACAGTTCCACGATGCGACCACGTGAAAAGGGCACAAACCGGCGCCTTCTTTGCATTTAATCTGGTACTTGAGACGGTCCACCGTGAACGACGAGGCCGAGGGGTTCTGTTCAGCTTGCCGCCGTAGCAACATAATTAAGGCACTCATGTTGACGTCAAAGATTGTACTGTCGACGGTAGTCTGAGTTGCGTCCCTAGAAGCATCTCTTTTTATCAAGCTGCCTTCTCTCGCGTTAAGACGCGGCGCGTAGACCAAACGGACTTACATGCTGATGAGTTGGCTGTTCGGCAACAGCTTCTCTAGCCCGTTGGTGTTCCTCACGCGGAAGGTTAGCTTGGCAGCACTGGACGTGTTCGCCAGGACCGTGACGATGCTGGCCAGAAACGAAAGCATCATGTCACAGCTCAGCTTCACCTGGCAGCGGGTCTCGTCCGTGCCGCGGAACGAGGAAGGCACTATCTCGTGGAACGTCACCGCTAGCGGGATGGTGTCAGCTAAGCCGCGCGTGAGTGGGGACGTCTTCGCGAGGAACTCACGCCTACACCAGCGGTACACGTCTAGGCTGGCGACGCTGTCGGCGCGGACGATCGTTGCGGGTGACCGTCTGCCGCGCGGCGACGGACCCTCTCCTCGGCGCGACGGCGGTGTGGGTCGCACGATCGATCCCGTCGGCGTCGAGGACGCGGACTGCTTGGGCGGTAAGGCCGGCGTGCAGTCTCTAACTTCCGAAAATAACGCCCCATCTAAAACGAGAAAAAATCATGTTACGTCTTTTTTATAAATTTTTGCCTCCTCTTGTTCCTACGTTTATATACAACGGAAAAACCTGTTTCACGTTACATACATCGCTCGACAGAGTTTAGCTCGAACAGCACGTGTAAAAATCGACAGCTACCAGATACTACGCAATATTACGTATCTCGCACTGCACGTATGTTGGCGGACGTTAGATGTCAGATGGTCGACGTTCTTATGTATGATCGTCGTGACTCCGACCTTAGTACGTCTTTTTTCGCACGTATACGTATCATACAAAATAAGTTTAGTCGCCGTTTAGTGTCACAAATTTCGCAAACGTTACGTTCGTCGCACCCTCGCGGGTGACTTACAATTAGTAACGTTGTATCTTCCTGCCATCCGGCAAACGGATAAACTCCGTGCGAGGGTTTACCTCGTGGAACGCGGGTATGAGAGTGTGTAGACGGTGCGGCGTGTGGCGGCGGCGGCTGCGACGGAGTCGGCGATATGGAAAGTGGCGGTGGGCTCTGCAGCGGGGCCGAAGGGTGGCTACCGGTCGGTGTCGATGCGCTCGACGGCGTACTGCTAGGATTGAACAAGTTTAGGCCAAGTTTTGCGCCGGGGCCGCCAGACGCGTACATCGGTGTCACCTGACGCCTGTCCGGTATGCGGTACGTGTCCGCGTACATCTTCGGATAAATCTTCACATCCTGCTCGTCGGTAGGTTTCGGCGGGGTGACCTGCTCCTGTTCCTTCCGCTGTTCCTGAAGATTATACAACGTGTTCCCATCGACGAAGTTTCTTTACTCTTCGAAGCTGTTGCTGGTCTTCGGGTTGCAGCCCGACACGCTACTTTCGCGACTAAAGTCCTTCTTATCCGACTCGGACGGCGCGCTACTGCTCTGCTTGTCGAGCGACGTAACGTCAACGCTTATTTTTTTCCTGAACGTTGCTTGCGTCGAAGCTCTTTTCTTGGACCTTGTCGTTGTTCGTCACGTAGTAGCGGTAGGTTTTAACGTGCTTCCTCAAGGACGACGGCGCGGTCGACCTCTTCGGGCAGCCCGGCACCTTGCAGTACGCGGGCTTCGCTACAGCGTGAGTTGTAGTATATGCTTGACACTGTCAGAGAACGTCGAGTAAGCCTTTGTGCAACTCTCGAAGGGACAGACGTAGGAACGCACGCTGGTGTGAGAGCGCGCGTGGATCTTCAGGTTTTCGACTCCGCTGAAGCTCTTGTCGCACTGGAAGCACGGATGCGGCTTCTCGTTCGTGTCGGTTCGTACATGGACCAGTATCTTGTATCTGTATGAAAGAACGGATCGTGAAACCGAATGTGAACGTCGTGACCGATGAGATTGAAAAGGACCAGTCGCGATTGAAGAGTTTAGTGGCGAGACAGCGGCGGTGAGTTACGACTCGCTCCTCTCGAATCGGAAAATCTTACGACGCGTGGCCACGCC